CCAGCAGCTTGGCCCCCACTAATGCAAGCCATCCTGAAATATACCTTTGCTGCACAGTGGACGTTACAACTCTTGCCGGCACTGTCGTTTTCCCTGAATTAAACCGCGTGCAGACCTCGAAGGCTTCAGAAACTTGTACCAGAGCTTGTCCATGCGCCCGGCCTTTACAACTCTACAAATCTCCCGGATCGCGTGGTGTGCTCTCTGCAACATCTGGCTCACTCGCCAGCTCAAGAGACAGGGGCTAAATGGCTAGTCCGGCCTGAAGCGGTAAACGGTGCGTTAGTACTCGAACTTCATACTTGCCGGATTAGCTGGACTTCATAAGCGTCTCCCTCGTTTACTCTATCTATCTATCTATCTATCTATCTATCGATCGATCTATCTATCTATCTATCTATCTATCTATCTATCTCTATATATATATATATAGTGGCGAGGCTTGGGTCAACTGATATTAGCCATCCTTCGTAACCCCATATTCACAAATCAAACGTCAGCTGAGGGAGACGGCCCTCCTTGGCGTGGGTGGGCGATCGGTGCTGCAGCGACTAAGACCGTTGCCAAAGTCGAGAGATGTCGAGAGGCATCTGCATCCGTTGGCAAGTGATGGAAGAGCAGCCCACCTGATGATCCCTATCTGTATCCCGACTCTATCAGCTCTTCCGCTCACGCTAAACAGCTGCGGGAAAAGGGTGGTAATTAAAACGTGCCTCACATAGGTAGGTCACATGCTGACATGCTTTGGGTTCTTCGCAATGGAAATTCCGGGAAATCCTCGTCCTCGTCCTCCTCTTCCACGGTCAGGAAGGTGTTCATCACACGCAAGACCGGTCTCCTTTGCTTGACACGGTAGGAAACATCAGCTTCTTCCGGAGTGTCGACGTTGCAGCGATCCTTTCCGGACCTTTCGGAGTCTGACTTCGTGGCCGGGCGGACCGGCGAGCTCCGACCCTCTGCTCGATCCCCTTTGCCGCTCCGATGCTCACTCTTGCTTCGATGCTCACTCTTCCCCCGTGAGTGCCCATGATGCCGGCGACGAATCTGCACAGTTTGCTGCCCACTAATCTCGAAGCTCCGCTTGCCTTGACACACGTGCTGTGCGTCTTCGATGTCTATGACTATGACTGGCTGACGCTGCCGTGAACTGAGATCTAACAAACCTGGATTGCCACCAAGCCGGACAAGCCCATCCGGAGTCTCCCGCGTCGCTGCTCCACCCGAGATAATTTCAGCAGAGAACTCTTCCACATCTGCAAGGGTGTCGACTAGCACTCGCCTGGCTCGAGACAGCTTCGCTTTCCCTAGGGGGCGGCTCTGGTTTCCGGGTGATGTGCGACTTTTCAAGGAGCTGATAGGCTCGGTGGGCTCCAGCAAGTCATCTTCCCAGGAGGCTGCGATCACAACCTTGGGTGGCTTATCCACTTGTGGTACATCGGGGATAGTGGCGAGGTTAACGACATCCTCGGAGATTCCGGACTGCAGCTTTCTGAGCAGATCAAGCTGATCTACCTCCGTCGTCTCCACTTCCTCTTTCTTCTCAACCTCGGGCTCCTCCAGAGTCGTTGGTTTCAGGAACTTGTGGAGACCCGCCTGCGGAGGTCTCAAGCTGAAGTGCCTTCTCGCAAGTGTTTCCGGTTCGTTTTCCTCCAGAGGCAGCTGTGTGCGCATCTTGTTCACCACTGCCTGCGCGTGTTCGAGCTCCTCGTCGCTGTGAGCGAAGCGACAGGCTGGACCCACCACGCAGCGACCCATCAAAAAGAAGCTGCACATCTTGGACTTCAACAGGTGTGGTTGCACCTTGAGCTCATCCACAGAGTGTGCATAGCGACAGCTCTTGGAATCGCATTTCCCGGTATGCAGGAAAACCGGGCATACCGAGGTGTTCGCGAAGTCCGGGGAGGGTCGCAGGTCGTCCTCACCGTGCGCGAAGGAGCATTTGATGCCCTTTCGGCACTTCCCCAGCTGCCAAAACTCGCACATGCGAGTCTTCCAGAGAGGGGAGACATTCTCAACTGCTCTCGTCTGGACCTTGCCCTTCTGACGTCGTGCAGCGAGGGCTTCCGGCCTGCCGGTGCCATACTCCGCTAAGGGAGGCGGGGTCTCTGGCAGGCACCGCAGTGCCATCTGGACGCCTGGCACCATCGGGGTGGGATCAACTATACTCGGAGGCGCCAAAATGGCTGAGAAAAGTCCCAGGGGCGGCCAGATATGGATCATAGCTTTCGGCTTTTTGTGCATGCGTTTCAGTAGAAAACGAACCTGACCAGAAGCAGCTCATGACTACGCAATATCAAACCTTAATTCTACGGACATGAACCAGCACCTCCAGTTCCTTGATTCTTGGTACGGGCTCCGAGGCACCATCACTCTCCACCTCCATGTTCTCAGCGTAGTCATGACCACCGCTTCCTTCTGTAACTCGATCCTTGCGGAGGATGCAACTGAAGGCTCATGTGGTGTTGCTCAAGATCTTCGGGAATGGGTTGGGCCCTGATTCCCTTCATGGGCCATGGGCCTAGTTGGATTTGCAGCCTTACGGCCGAATCAAGCAGCAGGCCTAAATAGGCCGAAGCTGCGATACGATAGCATGGGTTTCGCTTGAGTTCATATGGAAACAGCAGCACTACAAGGCAAGTTCAATGCAAAACGTGGGCGGCGGCCAAGCCCGGCGCAGATCCACAACAAGACAACGACATACCACAACTCCACGAACAACGCACAGGAATCACCAGAAAAAAAAACGTGACATGCCATTGCAAAACCACCTTTGCACTCTACTGACGGGTTATGTCCAAAACGCAGCGTGCCAAGACTTGCGTTTTGGCACGTGTGCGAAACAGATCTGACCGGCATGCGCCATCCGCCCACACAGCTGGTCACAAGGCCCTTCACCTAGCAAAACAACTTAACACCAAATGAATGACATCTAGGCCCTAGGCGACAAACACAAGCAGAGACACAACAACGCGCACAATCTAAAACGAGATAAAAAATCGATGACAAGCCACCGCTACTGCTACTCGAATGCTGCTCTTCCTACTTGTACCAAGTCATAGTTGAGGTGTCGCCGGCTTCGCATTGAGGCATCTAGGTCTAGGTAAGGAGACGATCGCTATCTCTGGCAATGCCCACATGCACGCACAAACTCCGATTCGTGTGCTTCAGCTTCTAGCTGTAGACCCGCGGATGAAAAAACAAAACAAGCCTCCACACTTCTGCTGTGGGCGGTGCTGATTTCTTTGTCCCTGCACATCTCTGAAGATGATGAATCAGGGTAAGAGTTCGGGTTCACTGGAGAGCTTGAGGCTTGGGTTTGAAGCGTGGACCCAGAGACTCCAATACCCCTTAATTAAGGAATATACCTTAGTTTATAGTAGGACCCCTAATATGATTGAAGGTATATTCCTTAATTAAGGGATACTGCAGTCTCTGGGGACAACCCCCGCAAGCCCAGTGGCGGCGTAGACGACCTCGTCAGACACTGATGCCGAGATGAGACTCCCCTCTGCCTGCGACAGTTCAAGATACTTCGAAGGCCTTTACCCATAGGCCCCATAGTTGTTCCTTTTTGGGATTCCGGATTCTATATATGAACCCCAAAAGGGAACTACTTTAGGGCCTATGGGGAAAGGGTATTTGCTTTAATGCAGCTGCGGAGCCCCCAAAACCCTGAAAGCGATCCCATGATGATATCGCTTCACGGACCATGCCAGGAGGCTTCCACGGCAGGGTTGGTGCAAAATTACATCTCGTCAGGGCATTGGTACTTGGAGGATCAGGGGAAGTAGGAACTCAGGTCATAAGTGCGAAGCAGCCTTAGCTGTGACCTCACTCCTACCCCTCTATTTACTAAGTCCCATGATCCTGTAAGTACTGGGTTTTGGGGCCGAAAGCCTCGGGCTTAGGGAGAGCAAACAGCTCCAGTCAACTGAAACTGGAGATGACCCCAAGCCGAGTTTCAGATACCAATACAAGTAAAGAAGTACATTACAAGTAAAGACACGGTTACAACAGCAGAAATGCGCTCACACAGGTACAGACACATGGGTATGAAAAGCCAAGCCTTCCAGCAGCATGCAAACGCCTGTTCAACCGGCTTTCTGGGTTCTGTTCCCAGCGTGCCTGTACCGTTGGGTTTAGGGTTTAGTTAGGGGTTTAGGGCACTATGCCTTTCTACGAAGTCCAGTAGAGGTACCTGGAAATGCAAATACACTCACAAGCGCAAAACACACACACACACACACACCTGCACAGATCTGTGTATGTATATGTATACATCTATGTACAGAAAGATATAGTGCATGTAGAGACGAATGAATGAATGAATGAATGAATGAATGAACGAATGAATGAACGAATGAATGAATGACTACATGGATTAATGAATGATGGAAGGGAGGAAGGAATTGGCCTTTGTTTGTATGTATGTATGTATGTATGTATGTATGCATGTATGTAAGCAGGTAGATAAGTATGTAAGTAAGGGAGTATGCATGTGTGTAGGAATGTAAGTATGTATGTAATGTATGTATGTACGTACAAGTAAAGAAGCAAGTACTTATGTATGTATGCATGCATGCATGCATGTATGTGTGTGTGTTGCTAGTTATTTAGATCTGTACTTAGATTCGGAGGCAGCATTCCGCCTCTCGTCCCGCGAAACCAATCTCGGAGTCTTCCTCGAAAGCCTCCTGAAGAAGAGCCAGTTGGGTGATACATTTGGAGATGCAGCTAACCACTGGGGCCATTGTGGCTAGTTTGGCTCAAGCCTGGTAAATTCAGGCGAACCCCGAACTTCGAAAATGTGGACACGAGGCAAGGCTAATGGCTTTGACTTGAGGGTTAGTGAGTCTTTCAGGCTTTGAGCATCATCGACTTCTTAGTCTCTACAACAGCTGTCTCAACCTGAAGCTCACAACTCCACGATGTGTACTCAGGACAGCAGAGCATGCCCAACAGAATGGAAAAGCAAGAAGCTGATGCTATGGAGCAGCATTTCACCCGTCACAAGGTGCCTCGTAGTCGTAGGTCATTGCCGTCCTTGGACCCGCGTCCATGTCCATCAGTGGAGGGCCGCCCATCATTGGAGGGCCGTCCATCATGGGAGGGCCACCCATCATTGGAGGGCCATCCATCGTGGGAGGGCCACCCATCATTGGAGGGCCACCCATCATTGGAGGCCCACCCATCATGGGAGGGCCGTCTGGTGGCATGATGCCAGGGCCGCCCTCACATGCAAATTGTTCACAGCGGCAAGGCAGGGTTGCGTGGGTGTGTGTGTGTGTGTGTGCGTGCTCTGCTACACACAGTCACAGACTTACCAGTACTTACCAGGACTCAACAGTCTCTAAATCGCATGCTTTCGAGGGATGCTTCGTCTGATGCTGGTTCGATGGGACAGACAGACTCCAAGCCATTCATGCGTAGATCACACTAGGATTCCGCCCCCAAAGATTGGCTGGTGAGCAGCTCTCTTTGCAATCTTGAACAGCAGTCCTACCTGGGCCTTGTGAGCTACTCCACTCCATGGGAAGACTTTATTTACGCAAAGGCTAAACGATCGTATGAGCATGCCTTCGCTTGTCATGCATGCATGCATACTTGTCATGGGCGTGTGCAAGTCACTGTGTGGTTCGGCTGCTGCATACAGGCACTGTATGTCTTGTGGTATTTTGGTACAGAGATGGGTTCCCCAAACCCTAAGCCCTAAAGCCCAAACCTTCAACCCTTTTTTTTGCATCAGGCTTGCACAAACCCCGCACCCTAAACCCTCTGTTTTGAACCCAGGCTCTGATCACCAGCTGGGAAAGCCCTATAAACCCTCTAAATCCCAAGCCCGAAACCTGAGACACCCCTGACAGGGCCAAGCCACAGGCGGAGCCATGGGCTGGGGTTTCGGTGGTGAAACAGGAATCGGCTCGTCTTCGGAGTACTCGTCCTCTTCGAAATCCTCACTTGCCTCTTGAGATGCATCAGAAAGCACGAATACATGAGGCACGTTTTTTTTTTTTGCGGATCTGATTTCTGCTGGGGGCCTGTGTTCGATGATTCGCCTTGGCTTCACAGTCGTAGGTGACTTCCTCTGGGTTCTGCGGGCGCTGCAGACGCTTTCAAGATCATATAACTTGACTTTGGCTCGGCAAGAGGCACATGACGAAATGGGGGATGCAGAATCTGCTGCGCACATGTTGCCTAAACATCTCGATTACCGAGCTTCGAAACAAGCCCCTCCTGTTCGGACTGCTTAATTCAAGTGCCGTCGAGGTGCATAATGCTGCAGCGGCATCCGGCCGGAGGGTTCGTCTGCAGGTGCCTCTTTTGCAAAACTCAAGAGCTGTCTACCCAGACTTACGCGAAATCCGAAGAGAAAGACAAGAAGCACCAGGTGATCAGGAGTTTGTTCGCTTTGCTTTTGCAGGCGGCAGTGGTGCTGCTGCTGCAGATATAGTGGTTGCCACGACAGTCGCCACCGGAGCTATTAGAAATACTGCCATTGTCCTTGCTGCCGTTGTTGTGGCTGCTATAGTGGTGGCGGCGGTGGTGCTGGTGGTGGTGTTTATCGTTGTAGGTAGCAGCAGCAGCAGCAGCAGTAGTGGCAGACCGCTTGAGGCAAAGGTTTCGGTAGTGGCAGTGCTTGCTGCTGCCTCTGCTGGTCGTAAGCTGCGGGGGTCGTGGCTTGGGCAGCAATCTGCATGGGCGGACACCGGGCGGTGCAGCCCGCTGCAATTCCTGCGGTGGTGCTGGTCTTGCTGCTGCCGCTGAGGTGGTTGCGGGCACTGTTGCTGTTGCTCTTGGGTTTTTGTCATTTGTTGCTATGTTGGACACGTCGGGGGTGTTGTTGGCTTCCTTCCTTGTGTTAGCTAATCTAGCAACTCCCGCTAAGCTGCCAGATCATGGAGCCGGTAGATTGTGGTCATGATGGCGATGGCGGTGATGGCTGCTGCGGTGCTGGTGCTGGTGCTTTTTGCTGCACATGCAAAATGGATGAGCGCATATAGAACTGGCGACCCTGCACTGGCCACACCATCATATATCGAGATGAGGACCCTCGCCATAGACAAAACATGCCCCTGTTGCTTAGGTACTCGTGAGTCGTGAGGCAAACAGAACAAGGACACGACCGGAAGGACACGACCGGCGAGAACGAACTTATAACTTATTGGATTAAGAAAGCGGGAATGAACAGGAGAGCCGAACAGAAGCATGATGAAGACCCCAATGACAAGCCATGTCTGTAAAACTGCCGCGTGCATGAGCTATACTGTTCAAACAAAACACACAAACTGTGCTGGTGTTGATGAATACGGCGAAGGTATCCGTGCTAGAAGGATTATGGTGTGGTCTTCCCCCTTCAATTTCATGATCGTCATGAGGGCCGTCGTCACCGCTATTACTAAAACTGCCACACCGGACTAGGCGGACATGCGGCAAGCGGCGAGCAGCAAAACAGTAAAAAAAAAAATAAATTCACACCGGCCTCTGTTTTGGCTGCAGCTGGAGGCTGGCTGGGCTCTGCCGCCGCCGGTTTCGGCGCTGACAGGAATTCTTCATAGTCCGAGTCGTACTCGTACTTTTCCTGCACGGCACTGAGTAAAGGGACAGCTTAGGGCTCGGATTTGTATCACAAGCTGCTGCGCGAGAACGAAATGCACCACTCGAATGCCTCTGCTTTGGCTGCAGGGGGCGGCTCGCTCGGCTGTGCCGCCGCAGGCGCCGGCTCTGATAGAAACTCTTCATAGTCTGAGTCGTACTCGTGCCTCTCCTGGCATCAGAAGACACTCAGCTGGACCCAGATTCAAGCGAGAATTCCTGGAGCCTCGCTGAAAACAGCAAGCAAGAACGAAGGATCTAAAGCATCGCAGGCCTCTTTGGCCACCGGTGCAGGCTGGCTAAGGCCAGTGCTCACTGCATGTGCCTGAATGCACAGGGAACGACACCAACCACAATCACGTGATGATTGCATTTCAGAATCGTAATGACACGCTTCATACATGACTATGACTATCTATCTATCTATATGTATATAACTACTATGACCATTACTACGATTCGTCCTTTTAGTCTTTTTCTTACTATTCCCCACTTCCCGGCCCCGAACCCTGGCCTCGGCTTCGACAGCGGCCGGGGGCTGACTCGGCTCGGGTCCCGGAGGAGGGCCCTCCTCAAAGTCTGAGCCATAGTCGCTCCGGTCCTGCGAGTCTTGAGGGGCTCAATGTCTGGAGTGTGGGCGTTGGGGTCTTGGAGCTCATAGGGTTTAAGCTTTTGGGGCTTTTGGGCTGAGGGCTCTTGCGGCTGCTGGTTCATGGTACTGGTGTTTGGGCTTGGGTTGGCCGGGTGTGCGCCCGACTATGTTTGGAGAGGTCAAACGGCAGAACAACTACCGTCAAATCGCTCCGCAAGGCCGGACTGGATCATGGTCCACCGGGCACGCCACGAGATTTACGTCACATGGTCAGCCGAGAGACCCCAGCTGCGTGTTGTGTCTGTTTACTTAAGGTGACGGCCATGGTTTTGCTGCACACGAGGCTGTGCTTGAAGTCCACATGTAACATTGGGTAGAATAAGCGATTACAGAGCCTGAGACATGCCGAAGACCAGCATACATACACTTGTCATTTTCAGACCCAAACTCTAGAGAAACGACTCCCTCGGGCTAGGACTGCTCAAGCAGCCACAAACCCACCCGGGCAGAGACCAGAGAAACCAAGGACAACAACGACGAAGAAACAAACAGCAGCCGCCAAGGAAACACCTCCTCGAAGCGCCAAGTCTTACGGAGTGAACTCAAAGTGCGATTTCACGAAACCCTGCCTCTGCAGGAGGCTGCGACTTGACGGTGGCCGGGGCCTTCATTGCAAGAGCACGTGAAATGCTTCGGGGTTCGGGCTGCGCGAGAAGCTATGCCGGCTGAGATTCATGATGATTCGGGTGCATCTTTTAGGAGGCTTCATCAGTCTGTCTTGCTACTTGCACAGGAAGCATCACCGTCACTTGCACCCATCAAAACCACCACCAACAACAACAATCACCACAACGACTTCGACTGCGCCGACGACGGCTCCTACTACCACTACCCCTGGTACTACTGGTGCAACAAGTACTGGCAATACTAGTAGTAGTGCAAGAACTACCAGTACTAACCGTGTCCATATGGCTTACATGCTCCTTGCGGTGGTCGTGATGGAGGCCATCATGTAAGCTCGCTGTTCACTACATTAATTGGGTAGTCTTCCGAAAAATCAAGGTTGCTATCGAAATCAACCCCATGATGCGTCCGCGTTCATTACTTGGCTAGCCCTTTGTTGATGAAGCCTGCTCCTCGTAGACTGGAGCCCTCATCGGGCCCGTATTTTGACAAGTGCATGCCCCCGCCCTCACTAACCGTCACTATAACCCGCAGGCTGCTAAAACTTCACCCTGAAACCTTCAACTGCTGCCCGACAGCAGCCCAAGCCCCACTTCGCACCAACTCCCAACACTTCACGATGAACCGTATGCATTGACAGAACGGAAGCCACTTAACACCAACTGCGAAAGCCAACCAGAAATTTCCAGAAGCATGCCCGCCCAAAGCAACAAGCAGTCTGAGATCCTAACCGGTGCGGGCTCCCCCAGCGGAGCCTCTGGCGGTCGGAATCAGACCAAAAGTAGGGCTAGAGCGGCTACAGGGTTGATAATCGGCCCAGCGCCTTGCATGACGACTTTTGAATCTTGGTTTTGAGTTGTGTGAGCTGAAGGTTACTAGGCATCAGCTGCAGAGGAGCGAACCTGCATTAGAAGATCCAGGAAACACGCTGTTTCGCATTTTCGGGCTGTCGCCCTGGAACGACCCACACCTCCCATCCCGTATCCGGCAGGCCTCCTGTTTCGCAGGGCTTGGTGCCGCTGGGGTCGGGCTTGGGCTGGCCACCTCTTCGTGCACACGGCACACGGCTTTAACAAGATAACTCGGTTCCGACTGCGACTCCACGAGGCTTGTTTAACTTTAAGGGATGCTTCGGAGTTCCAGCGTGAGCTTCCGGGTCAAGGCTTCCACGACAAAATTCCCAAACCTCACCCGAGACCCCACCCCGAAAGCCTAACTCGCGCCCAGTTCAGAAGCCTCATCGCCTGTTCGTCTGGCATCGCATCATGGCTACAAGTACTTTTTACTCTGGCCCATGGCTCCTTCTTGCCATTCCCGTACAATAAAAGTGTGGTCTACGCAAGCAAGGTTTCCCGGACTAGCGGACAACACTTTCTCGGCACCTTACTCCCTTCGACTGAAGGTGCTACCGAAGTTGGGCTCGCCTGGGTGTTCTGCGGCGGATCCGCAGATTCCTCGCGACTAGGCTGGTCAAACCAAGCTGGACAATGCAACTGTTGAGTCTGCGACACTCGTCACGTGAGTACTTCATGAGAAGTGCGGCGATTTGGTGTTCAAGGGATAAGTGCTCTCACGTTCTGAGCGGCCCCTGCAGGGTCTACCGTTTCCACTGCAATATCGGAGAGCTTGGTGGGGTTCGCCAGTCCCTGCCACAGCAGGGGAAAGCCTCAGCCTACCGTGACAATTGACTATTGTGCTCAGAACGCCAAAACTCAATTTGCATGGACCCTTAAAGCCTAAACCCTGTCACTGTCGCTTGGCACACATGCACCAATCACAAGGGCTCCACCTCATGTGTTCTCTTTAGAGTTTAGGGCTGAGGCCCTCAACCGACATCAGAGCCGGAGTGTAGAAGCAAAACTGGATAACACATTAATATAGGGTTCTTAATAATTAGAATCGTGGTTTGGGGTATATTATACTGCAAATTCCTGAACTTTGCGAACTTTCGAGCGCTGAAGAGTCGTCGTATGATTCCTGTCATCCTTACTTCATCATCGCGGCTGCCATATACTGGTTTAGAGTCTCGCAACTCGGGCAATGCAGGCGAGGTTGGTTTCTAGGCGTAGAGTTTAGGATTCCCGCTTTTCAAGGATAGAGATGCGACGGCTTCATCGCCGTCAACAATGGCAGCTGCACTCTTGACACGCCGAAAGCACAAACAGCGTCGATCTCGAATCCAAAGTTACAGTTACAGGAGCACATGTCCGAACTCGCACACTTGACCCGACTCGCTTGCCTCTTGGGGCGTGGGCCAGAATTCACTGAGACTGCTCAGCAGGCCCCCTAAACCTCAGAGGCATCAGCAGGCATTCGGTACGGCTCGGTGATTCCGTGTCTGTACAGGGGTCCCACAGACGAAGGCAAGTTCGGGTGTCGGAGCAGGTAGAGCGGTAGAGCTCAAAATGCCGGCAGTAATCGCTGTGCCACGAATCAAATCTGGAGTGCAAGCGGGCATAAGGACAGGTGAGTTGAGAGTTGACCTTGAGGTTAAGCTAAACCGAAACCACACATGCCCTACATCCTGACCTTGCAAAGCGTCAGAACCCCTACACATCCCTTGCTGAGCTGCGAAGGCACTCTGAGGCACATGAAACCCTCGGCTCCGTTCGTTTAGCCGACAACATGGAGCACAAAGCCTTACATCTTGCCCACTTCCGGTCTGAAGAGCCCCAAGCTCCGACCCTACTTGGAGGTTCATGGGTAGTTATAAGTAAGGTTATAAGTAGGGAAACTATAATTATAACCCATATTAAGGGACTTATAACCCACTTATAACTACCCATGAACCTCCAAGTAAGCCAGGAGTGATGCTAATTCCATCCGGGGGCTAGCTTTCGAGGTGGAGCCTTCTCTCCGCGAAACCTCTTCAAAGAGACCCGCCTGAGCATGGTCAAGAGCTTAGCATCAGAACTTGGGGTTTGGCTTTCTGTGCAGCCTGCTGTTCAACCCAACCCCTCCAGAAATCTTTTTGACTTCTAGTTTTTCACAAGGGACTGGGCTGCTGCCCAAATTTTTATGAAACCCGAGATGTCTGGCCCTCTGCTCGGGGGGACCGGCCGCAGATTGAAGAAGTTGGAGCTATGCGATGGCTTTGGCTGAGGCTTGTGCAGTGGAAAGTCTTTCGACCCAAAACATCTTGAAACGAAGGTCTGGGCTAAGAGCTCTTGTGGAGAGCATGCACTTGCCAGGTTTAGCACATCCGCCTTATATGTTTGCCTCACGTGCTTTTCCTAGATATTGAGGTTAAGGCGCGCTTGGGATATCATCCATCTCGCTTCTCTCCTTTGTTCTCTCCCTTGCCCATTGTTCTGGACGACCCTGCAACACTGCCGAACATGTAACTGGCATGCACCACGACATGACACTGGTATATGTTCTCCTGTGACTGCCTGCGTCTGTGTTTTTATTCTGTCCGTCTGTCTCGTTCTGCTGCGGTGACTGTACACATGGATGCAAAGATGCTCTTCTGCGCAAGTGTACAGCAGGAAGGAGGCTGCCTGGAGGTTCTGACTGAACGCCCACAACTCGAGCGAAGAAGCGTCATGCAGGTGCAGTCATGCTAGCGGCTGCTAGCGCACAACAGGAAACGAACGACATGGCCTTGCTTTCTTGGATGGACTTTTTTCCCATACTTGCCAGCAAAGTTGCAAAATCAAAGGGTGTGAAGGAGAACACTCCGAGATGATACAGCTTCATTTTGAAGCTGTCCTTGGTGGGTTACATGCTGAGCTACCAAGAGTGAATGCCGCCCGGTACCGAAGATACATGCTTGTGCTTGATAAAGGCCCTAGATCCACTCCCTTCAAAGACAAGCATGGGGGGCTTAGCATCACACGACTTCCGAACCGAGAAACCTTGGGAGCCAGAGAGGAGTCAGGAGAGCGTTAACTATCGGTGGAGCCTGCTTGTTGCTGCGAGCCTGCATCCGCAACGTATCTGCCGACCGTGCAGACGAATCCATTCTCTGGTCTGAAAAACAAGCTGGCTTAACGGACGTTCCAGCTTTATTAATGTGGAAACTCAATTCCTCACTACGAAACATAATCAGCCCCCAACTTAACGTCGTTCACATCGAGCCAGACATCAAGCCCATAACCCCGAACCAAAACCCAAAACCTCCCACGCCCCCAAAACCCCCCTGTTAAACTCACACTCGAACCTTCAAACCGTCCAGAAAGCCTGACCTCTCCCAAACCCCTTTTGCAGCAGGCGTCTCTCGCCCGGAACTGCCGTCGCCGTGAAGCCGTGCAGTACTCATGACTGCCAACCCCGCACAACGTGTACTCGTGACAGGCCATGCAGTTGGACAGCCCAGCTTTCCCCTAAACCCCGAATCCCTGAACCCTGACCCCAGACCCCAATCTATCTTGCTAAGGACTTCAACAAAGAATCGTAATAAGCAGCCCTAAACAGGTAGGTTCTGTAGGTCCAAGCAAACCCTAAAAGCCACAAAACATCCAAACCCCCTTTTTTGCATCAGGACTTGTGCATCCAAACCCCTTTTCAACCCCAAACCCCCTTAAACCCGAAAAGCCCTAAACCCTAAACCCTCTCAGGCCCTACTAACAAGAAATGCTTGCCCAGGGCTCCAAGTCGAGGCCCTCCGACTCGTCAAAGGGTTGTCCCGGTCGTCTAAGCAGTGCTCTGAGGTTGGCTGAAGGGCCGTGCTTTTCAAGCAACCTCTCCAGGGGGCCATGGGATGGGTTTAGGGTTTAGGGTTTAGGGTTTAGGGTTAATGTGGTGCTATCAGGATTCTAGCCTACGGTTTTGGAGTTTCGACTTCCTGATGGGTCGAAATTGGCGATTGGTGGAGGGATCGCGAGGCCTAGCAATCCGATGAAGGCTTGGTTAGGCTGTGAGGAGAGTCAAGATTCTATCAGGACTTTAAACTGCAATACTAAACATATTATAGGGGAAAAAATATTTTTCCCCTATAATATGTTTATTCTCCAAGGACTTTAAACTGCAATTGAAGATTTCGGATATTTTCGGATCGCGGTCTAGGGCAAGGCTTGCTGCTACTGTCCGACTAGGCTGCGGTTGGGGAACGGTCTTTTCAATGCTCAAGCTCTCCGCCATACAGCAAAACATGCCTCGACACACCTGCGTATAGATAAAAAATATATATACATATACACTTGTATACTATATATATATATGCATATGTGTGTGTATCAAAATGGCAGCAAAAGATCCAGCAAAAGACCCGGCCTCCTTGCCAGGTCCTCTGCATTCTTGTCTGACTGGGGCTCTGCGGGAATCGCCTGCTCTGGCTCCTGCGCAGCGTCAGCTTCCACAGGACGGAGTGTTTGGGAGACTATCTATCCTCTGCTGCCATATACCTGTATATGCAGATCTGTATATATATGTATGTATATAATTATCTAACTATCTATCTATCTATACATACATACATACGTACATACATACATACATACATACATACATACATACATACATACATACATACACATACATATTCGATTTGCATCGGTTCTCCTGCTTCGGGGAGTTCAGGCTTCCGTATGTTGTGCACATGCCGTCAAAGATTTAATTTGTGAGACGTTGTCAGGCAAGCTCCGTTGACCAGCAAATGGTCAAAGGCGAGCTGTTCCGAATTCGCCAGCACTCCAGACACTTAGACCCTAAGCCCTAAGCCTTAAACCCTCTAAACCCTAAACGGACATCATCCCCCGGAGTGATTTCCGATGAAGTACCTGGCATTAAGGCTCACAACCGCACCTGAGCCGAAGCCGGCTCATCCGGCTCTGGCTCTGCTAGCCATGGCATGGCAGGCACCGGCTGCGCAGGAGCAGGCTCCTCCTGGGTCGGAGGGTTTTTTTCAGCTTTGAAGAAGCCGAAGTACTCCCTGCAATAAGGAAGGATTTTCTGGTTTGGGCTGCCCTCAATCGAACACTGGTCAGGAAATTTTGCCCAAGGGACGAAATCATCCTCGTAGCCGCCGGGCGGAGGCGTAGGACCTGGAATGAATAACATCATGAGAGAGTTCTTTTCCATGGCCCATGAACCCTAAATGACTCGGACCTCCGCTTCGGACTTGGGAACTTTCAGGCATCCCGTCAACATGTGTCTGCTGAAGCTCCCTATTGTTTCCCACCCGCCCAGCTGACTATGTCGCACCGTTATGGAGGGTTGTAGGTCCACAGCAGAACAATCACGAACGGCAAGCCGAGAAACTTTCCGGCAAACAACTCGGCAGCGCCCTACAAATACCCTTAGAGAAGTCGGACAGGCTACTGAGCCTGAAGCCATGAAACGTAACGCCACATCTGCATCATAACAGCAAATGAACACTCACATTCCTCTCCACCTAGACCATCCCAAGTTGCTCGTCGGGTTGGGATGGTCCGCAGACTCTAGGGGCGTCTCTGGCCGAAAAGATGGCGGCTCCTGGCAGCAAAACTGGGTAAGCCAGGCTTAAGGTCGAGCTTGTGGCCTTCAGCTCCCAGCCGGCACTAAGCTGACAGCCTTCAAATCAAGCTGGTATGTGCACGAATCGTGCCTGGGCATGGCCTAGTGGCCAAGCTTCGAGCAAAGCTCCATGTCTTTTTGTTTTTGCCCAACGGTCCTGATCGCTGTCGCCGCCCGTCGCGACAGGGAGATCCAAGGCCGTCATGCCGGAGTCCTCGCACAGCCGCGGCAGTAACCAACTATAGTAACAAACACAGTAGCGGCAACAGCAACAACCACGTCATGAGATGCCCGACTGTTCTGCGTCTCCTGCCTCATCTACCAACCCCGACGACGATGACGACATCACCGCCACCGACGACTACAGCACCTACTAGCACTACTACGACGACAGCGACGACGACTACCACACCGTGCTGCTGCTGCTATGGACCAAGGATGCGCTGCAAATCTCAGTCATGTACCCAAAGGCGCAGGGCCTGCGTCGTCGCCGCAGGCCCCGAGGAGGGTGAGCGCAGCTGCTGTGCAGACGAAGGTCGGGGAGGGGAAGTCGTTGAAGCCTTGCAGACTCAGCTACTGCGCCGTGTATTGTCTTAGGGTTTATAGGGTTTTGGGGCTATTGAGTGGTTGAGGACTTGGAGAGGACTTGGAGATGCCAAGGCTCCTTCCTTTTAGATAGCCTTTATAGTGGCACGAGCATAAAATTGCAACACTCACAGTGGCGACACGTCCGTCTAGACGTTGTCGACAGAACGATGGTGTAATCCTTACGTTCAGTGGGCATGGTCGAACAAGGTTGAAGGTTCAAGATTTTGCAGGGGTTCTTGGACTTCACACGGTGCCCAGGACGGTTGCTGGGGCATGGGGCAGGACAAAAGCCGCTCTCGGCAGTGAATACCAGGTGGCTTGCGGCATTCCTCATGCATGGAGAGCCCTAAAACCTACGTCCAAAACCCGAAAAGTGCCCGAAACCCCCGTAAACCCTGGTGTCTTCTCTGACCGAAGAGCCCCAATCGTGGTGCTGCCATAGGTGGAGAACGCCGAGACGGGGCGAGGAGGAGGGGAGCAGCTTCGGCCTCGGTCAGGAGCATCATTGGAATTGTCAGCAAAAGAGTTTCGAAAAAGCCATATGCAACACGTTGACTTCTTCTTCTTCTTCCGGGGCAGATTTTGATGAAGCCAAACCGTGGGGACGATTGCACTCTGCCGAACCCTTGGGACCTGAAAGCAACGGAATCTGCCGAAGCTCTTCATGCGTGCATTCAAAACAAAAATCCGAGTATGAAAACAGACCATGATCAACCCACGATGCTGCCAACTGTCATTTGGCTGGCTGCTGCCCCTCTGACCACATCATACTGTACCACATCTCGCTCACAGCACGCTGCGGTCAAAGGTGCTCATACTCTCCTGGTTGTCCCCGCCGGGCGTCCGCCGCTCTACAGGGGTTGGCGTGCCTCCTCCTTGGAAATCATTTTGCTTAGACAGGCCGGTCTGAGGAATCGGCGAGACAAGTATGGGGTTCACACACTGCGATAGGCCATTCAAAGCTACCGGTATGGCCCGACACTCACCCCCGTTCTAAGCCCTAAGGGTCCATGTACCCAAATAGTATGTACTTTGGCCTTAAAGTAGTCCCTATATAGGTACGTTGGGGCCAAAGTATGTACTATTTGGGTAACATGGACCCTTAGGGAAGTAGGTGATTTGGCCCACCAACTACCGCAAGTGGAAGCTCAAGCACCTGGCATGTGGTGCTCTAGACATAAAACCGCGGACTGACCGAACCGCCATGCACGATGCTTCTTAGCGTCCCAAGACGGAAACGGGCAAACACTACATCCGAACCAACGTGCCAAGCCACGGGGGGTGAGCCCAAAGAACATGGGAGGATGAGGAATAGGCTTCGGCTTCTCGGTGCGTGCGGTCGATGTCCACCGCTGGTGCATCTGCTTGACCTCACCGGACCTTTGGATTCGAGCATGCAAGTGCAGGGAACCAGTTGGGACTGGATGCCGTGACTTTGGGGTCCACGATTCTGCGCCGCCGGCCTAGCTAAACTCTGCTTCTCTTTCCTCCACGCATGAGGCTTGGGTTCAGAAGTTTTCTGAGACGTGGATCTGGGTGAACAGTAACTTCGGCATCCCGGCTCATGACTTGCATGTTGAACCCGTCTCTAGGACTCTAGGACTCTATAGGTCGTAGGGTGACTCTATACTAAGCCCCGCAGTCTTCCTTCTCCAGAAGCAAAGCCAGGCCGCACGTCGTCCGAGTCTCGGCCGGCCGCCAGAATCCGGGCCACCTGCTGCTCCGAAGCAAGAAGCCGGGCGGTGCAACATACCATAACGCACTTAGACTGAACTATACTTATGCGATCATATACTATGATAAACTGTAACTATAATACACATTCTGTATAAACTATCAGACTATCATAGAACATGATATGCCGTAACTATGCTTGAGTATACTTTCAAAAGCTATCAACACTGCATGGCAGTTCTGCCATTCTGCCGCAAGAGTATGCCGATGCCAAAGCACAAGCAACCTTTCTCGGCAATGAAGAGGCAATGCGAGATCGATCTAACTCCTGAACCGACTCTTTTCCAAAGACAAACCCACATCCCGCTTGTTATCGGCCTTCTGTGCAAGCGTGTCAGGGTTCGGCCAGCGTTGCGAACCTTTCCGCATGTTGGGCCAAGGAGTGCTTGGTTCGCGTCCAGGCTCGGGGGTGAGATGAGGTGTCGAGGCCAGCTTGGGTCCATCCGAATCGCCTGCCAAAGCCACATTACATCTGAGATACCCAAGAGCTCAGCGAAAAGGGGCGATTAGAAGTTGGTCTGAGGGCTCGGACTGCCCGGCCGAGTTGCTAAGCTTGGACCACACCTGGAGTCGATCCGGGAGCCTGCAGCGAGTGGACACAGATGGGTGACTTTTCAGGGATTCCTGGAAGTTTGCATATCGCAAGACATCGGAACTTTTAGGCGAGATTGGAATCTAAAGGAGGGAACGCAATTCGCAGCCCAAAATCACCACATCGAACCCGCTCAATAGCTCTGACGGCTTTTTCTGGAGCTGCTCTTAAGATGACTGGTTTCAGAGATCCTATCCTATGAGCCTTCGACTTTGGCATATGGTCTATATTTTAGTTGAGTTCAGCATGTTCTGAAACTCCTGAATATTTAGGGAGGCCGAACCCAAAAAGGCTTTTTGCCTCTTGCTGTGTATTCGAGAAATGCCCTTGGCTCTCTGAGACGAAACCGTAAAGACCCGACCCTACAAAAGTGAAATTCATGCAAGGATCTCGATGAATTTTGACCTAGTGAGTAACTGGTGTCTGGGCCGTGAAGCTTAGAGGCCGTCCGAAATGCCCCTGGTTATGTAAGTGCGCAACTTTAACCGCTGTTTTTCTCGTCATCATCATCATCATCAGCATCATCATCGTCATCAGCACCATCACCATCGTCAGCGTCATCATCGGCAGCAGCTGCAGCAACAGCAACGACACCACCATCATCATAGTCACGACATACAGGTCCATCCATCCATACATACGTCCATGCACACATACACCCACACGTACATACATCCACGCATGCATGCGTACATACATACATACATACATACATACATACATACATGCATACATACATACATACATAGAACCCATTGGATAGGGAGCATCAACATGACTTTGTCCAACTGGGAACGATGCCTATCTTGTTGGGACGGCACGCTCGCGGGCCGAAAGACACAAGGAACGCCCGAGGCACCAGGATGCATGGAAATCCCAAGAATCACCAAGTTGAGCCCCCCGAGAAGGCACAGCCTAAACTACTAAAGCTCTCAGAGCTGAAGAACCAACCGGGGGAAAAGTTGAGCCGACAGGCCTCAGCCCTGCACCCAAAGCCATCCCAAAGCCTATCCGGAAAAACCGGTGCATCTGCAACACAACAAGTGACTCTGGTCTAGTATGTGTACATGTAATTTCGTTATTCGTACTTTTGAGCGGCATCGCGGCTGGCTACTAGGTATGGTTCACAACCATACAGTCTAGCGGCCCGGATCTTGGTGGTGCGAAGCCAGAGGATAAGAGCACAGTCACCTAAGAGACGCAGGTTTTCGGAATGTGGGGTCTTGGATTGAACTTTAGCTGGGCGGACTTGGAAGCCAAAAGACTTCTTCTGTTGTTGTGTCGGCGTGTTTTGGGGCTTCTGGGACTTTGGAGAATACTTGGGCTCAGGGCTTGGAGGCACCAAGCATAATATAGGGGCCTTAATGTCATGCTATAGTTATAACAAGGAACCCCCAAAATAGTAGAGGTCATTGTTAACATTATTAATGCCCCTAAATCACCAGGCATCCCACCAGGTTTCCAAGATTGCTCCGGCCAGGGCAAGGTGCTTCAAGAACTCTTATACTGGAGTTGTTGACAGCCACCCTAAGATTAAAACTGGTGACTTTAAGCACTGGAGCCGTTGGGCTCTGAGACCGAGCTTCGTCTCTGGTTTTACAGGAAATCCAGATTTAACTTGCGTGAGTTTGGCTCTGGAGCTCAAAACCGGAGCTTCAAGTGCTTCGAATCAAACAACGCCAGCATGCCATGGCCAAGCACATCACGAAAGAGCTAGCGAGTCAGATCGGGAAGTAGAATGCAGCGACATCAGCATCGCATATCTTCGGGTGATTCGCAGGCTATGCTTTGCATGATCTCCGCGAGCACGCATAAGGCGCATCATCAAGGTCAAGAAACTCGCGGATTGCGGCATTCCTGTGAGCAATCAGACCACCTTAATTAGCCCACACCCTGCCAGACCATGCCAGACCCGGGAACCTGCAGAGCAGTATCGTCAAGGACCTGGAGAGTTTGAACATCCACATCCCGCCCTGGGCTGTTCAAGCCTCGACAACTAGACCCTCAGGATTTTCAACCGAGGTGCTTCGAAAGAGCCCAGGCGCGGGTAGCGCACCTCGCATGCAGAACTGATTATCAATTTTGAGGAACAAGGCGCCGCTCTGCAACGACTCGCGCTGATGCAAAATTACGAGCCGGCTAAGGTCTCGAACTGCAAAGCAAACAAAGCCCGCAACATCTCGGACCCGGACATCCAGCCCAAACCTCGAAGCTTGCATTACGAACCCCGGTGCTCACACCAAAGCCCCGTAACAAAAACCAACAAAACAAACTCTCTGCACTCGCAGGCAACCCGCGACCTTCTCCCCCTTGATGCTCGTGAACCAGCCGCGGCAATTCCAGAAGGGTGCGAACCCTTTCGGCGGCCCCGGATTCCTCAAGGTCTCGCCAGGAACACTCAGGCGAAGCTTGCCGTCTCTCAGAACCGATACTGTTATACATCTGAGCATAAGAAGCATTAAAACACAAGCCAGCCTCTTTGTCAAGTGATAGTGGTCTTACACTTGTACCATCAGGACCACCTCTAGGTCACGATGTATGACTCCACTGTCCTTCCCTACTCTTCGGGAATGTGTGTGGCCTAAGAGGTAAGGGTTAGGACGAGGGTCTCTGAGAGTTTCGACATCATGGCTAAGATTTGAGTGGTCAGAGGCCACGCAGATCTGCACCGAGGACTGGGCAAACACACTGATGGCACACAGAACTGCCAGTATGTAGGGTTGGTGGAACAATCCAAGAAACGTGACCCAGGCGAAGCAAGCAGAACTCATGCTGCGCGCATGGAGCCCGGGCAGTTGTTGTGCTCAAAAGCCGGTGCTCCTGCGCTGCATCCGACTTGCTCTTTTGAGATTCAGCCAAGCATCGTGACGACACGGTGGGAGATGTTCTCGTTTGTGAGGTGGACGTTCATCATAGCCTCAACCTCAATCAAGAGTTCGTTGATGGGTTTCAGGCTGAAGACCGACATGCATGTTACGTCCCCTGTCGCGATGCGACGCTGACCTCTAGCTTGCGAGATGTTGATGCATGCTCCTGCGCGTCGACCTAGGTACTCATGTGTCTTTGAACCACACCGAAAAGGATACCTGCACTGAGAAGGATGGAGCATTTCAGGTTACAACAGGCGCCCGGAAGCGAGGCGATAGTGCCCACAGGTATACGATAGAGGTCGAATATGTAGCAATGAGAAATACGGTTTTCTTACGGCATAGTACGATGCACCCTTCAACCCTAGTCTAGTCGAGCCTGCAAGCAGCATCTCAGCTCGCGCACCACTTGGACTTAGTCTATGCTGCACCGTGTCAGACTGCAGCGGATCCCTAAACTTTGGGAACCACAAAAATGCGAGGCTATATCTACGCATGCCTATGCCAGGATTACATGTTTTCGGGCCCCGGTTGGCATCTTACCAGGGTTCTGGAGAAAGAAGGGTGGGCTGGCGACTGAGCAGCGTCCTTGGCATACTTGGTGTATCTCTCCACCTTGTAGGTGGTGTGGAACGAGTTCTCATCATGGTGCTCGATCTCTATCCTGCTGACTGCAGAACAGGCAAACCAATTCTACACCGGAGGAAGTAGTAACTTGGTTACCCTCAAAAACTCACTGCGGGCTGGAGCACTTCACCCAAGAGAAAATTCAGTGCAGAACACTGTCAGCTGGAGTTGCTCTGGATCCTAACAGCTACCTCTCTCTTGCAGGCATAGGGCATGGTGCGCTTTCGGATGTAGCGTTCCGGGTAGAGGGATCGAGGGCTTCTTCACAGAGCTCCCAGTCCTCACGTCCATCGGCCTCCACGCGGGATGACGCGCACGGCCATGCTACTTCTCAATTTGTGACCCCTGAGAGCCGACACAGGGAAGGTGCAACGGTTTAGGGTTTAGGGCAAAGCATCGGGAGATATTGGCACAGCGCAGGGGGGTATAATCACACGCATTCTGCCCTTGTGGCTGCATAGGTCAGATAGATTTGATTGTAGGCTACTTCTATGAATTCCGAATAGTGACACGACAGAGGAGTAACGAGTGCTTTCTCTCGACCGGAGCAACGGGGGTTCGAAGCCCTTGATTTGATGCAACAGGCATCTGGTTTGCATCTTAGCCCTTCTGCGGTTCTGCATGCTGAGTCCCAAAACACAATGCTATGCTTCGACTCAAGCCGCTACAAAAACAGTCGAAGGAAGAAGCAACTCCAAAGTCGATTGCTTCCCTTCCCACTGATTGTGGTCAGAGGCATCTAGGATTCTTGAAAGCAGTCGTCTACTTAGAACACAGATATGGAAACGAGTGAAGCTACACACAAGGAACCACGCCCGAACAGCTGGGCCTTGCATTAGTACGGCCTCATGGAATATACAATGAACCAGCTCCATTATGGGTTTGAGCACGGGTTTGAGCTGAGGTCGTTCAGTCTATCATTTGGTCTTGGGGCGTCTTCGGAGAATGTAAATTTCGCAGGACAGAACCCCGCAGCCCCTCTCGCTCCTTTCTATCTAACTATCTATCTATCTATACATGTATATGCGGCAGTATACAGTAAGTAGTAACCAGCGGAATGGCTTAAACTTACAGTTACATACATGTATACATACATATATATATATATATATATGTATTTCTATATATATATATACATACATATTCTGCTCACATATCAATAATCACACCTAAATATGCAAAAGTACATACATACTATACATGCCTGTGTGGTGTATATGCGTGTGTGTGTGTGCACATATATATATATATATATACAGACGGTCACCAGGACAGTCTCCTCAGGAACTTCCCGCGCGACTGGTATCTCAGATCGCGCCTGCGCAGGGATGCTGCACAAGTGCTAGTTCTGCGTCGTGCTGTAGCGTAGCTGGGGAGAAATGGAACGACAAGGAACGACAGTGCTTTCAATAATCGGCCTCGCTTTAACCTTAAATTACTTTCCTGAAGCCGGTGTGGACTCTAGTCGCACTATCTCAACCCATCATGACTTCCCCGCACGCACGATTTGTAGGCACATCGAACGCTATCGGGTTGCCAATAGCATGTGTTATCTAGAATCACACGCAGACACCGGTCCGAAACGGCAATTGCCGAGACATGTGCTCGCTAGCTCCTGGAATCATCCGTGGGTCAGCCAGAAGTACGTTCGGCCATGCACCTAGATTACCCAAATCTATAGATCCTGAAGGCCTAAGACCTATAGGAAGCATCTGTGAAAGCGCCTGTTGGACAAACCAACTGCACACACCGTTGTATCCGCAACTTATATGCGCACACAACCTCCTTGAGCTTTAGGCCAAGCAGAACCTTGCATCCATAATCGCAATTTGGGTTTGCCCGCAGGAAGCAAAGCACCTCCCTCCTTGAAAACAGAAAGTTAGTCCGCAATCACCAAGAAGCCAATGCACTCCACACTCAAACCGGCGGAGTTTATGTAGGGCATTGGGTTTGTTTAGGGCCCCCTGTCGGCACGGCCGGGGCCTTGAGCGCATAGTGGGCATTCTGCCTCAACGGAGTGGTGGCAAATTCTTATCTTGATTGGCATTGTTGGTATTACTGTTCACGGCCACAAAACCTACCAATTGCAACCCGAATATGTCTCGCGTGTTTCGGGCTGCTCAAACAGTATCATCGTGGGCTCAGATTTCCACGCTCGATAGCATAGTTCCTACTTTGCAGGAGCCCGAAGCAGGCTCCTGGCATGCATCTCCTGCCTTGCTCGAGCAATTCTAAGCTCGACTGATCCCTAGAGTCCTGGGAAAAGATTATGACCCAGTATCGCCCGAACGTGATGACTACTTTTTGATACATAGATAGATAGAAAAATAGGTAGAGAGAGAGATGGATATATGTATGTATACATATATATATATATGTATACATATATATATATATAGAGGCACATAACTATGCTTGGAAGCTAGCAGATCTCGTCTGTGTTCTGCTGGACATTCAGCGGTACTCAAGCTTGAGTAGGACAGAGCCGCAAACAGCTGCTGGGCATTGGTAATATAGATGCAAGCCTATGTGTGCTGAGCAGCCGGCGCCTGGGTATTCTTTTATTCCCAGGAAGTTTGTATACATGTATTTATTTATATATATATATATATATGTGTGTATATATATATATATATCTTACGAAAAGTGATCCCGAAACATGAGCCGTTTTTCATTCGGCCATAAACGGCTATCCGCATCCTTTATTCCACGAAATCATCATAAACCAATCCGTTACATCTTAACGCAACTACAGCCGTCCCTCCGTTCCGAAAAAGATCCGGCTCCCAGCCTCAAGTACTCTTTGGACTGCTGTGGCCTTGGGATAAGCATGGTTCAGCTGCTGGCGGCCCAAGTTGAATGCTGATTCATGATTAGGGCTTCAGCCGGTAAGGCTCTATACGCTTGAACGACCATGTGACTCATATGGTTCATACTGGCAGCATTGGCGCACAAAGCTTCTCTATACATGAATATAGCACCAGCCCTGCACAGTTGCTGGCACATCTAGTCAGGAAAGACATGAACACGCATACGAATGTCCGCAAAGAGGTGCATTCATTAAAGGCGCTCCGACAGCGTCTTCCGTCGGGCTCGGGGTTCGAAGCTGCGTCCCGAGGTCTTGGAACTAGGCTTTCAGGGCACGTTAATGTAGGGGCCATAAAAATCAGAATAGGGTTTTGGGGTATATTATACTGTAATTATAATACGGAACCCCCAAAATAACATAGGCAATTATTCACGCCCCTGTGTTCTTTCTCAGCTCTCCAGGACGGGGGTGGAACGCGGAAGATGAATCGCTGAAGCTGAGAAGATCTAAGGCTCCGGCAACAAAATGGAACCTAGACCGAAACGCTCTGCAAAAGGCTTGCGACTAAACTCTCCTTCGAAATCTGGGGTGAGGTTGATTGAAATCGCAGCCTTGTGCCTGTATTCACGAGTGCCTTCCATGACACGCTGCATTGCTTTCTTGCTTGTTAAGTTCCTGACACAGCATGGGCACACTACGGCATGTAGGATGTTGGCAAGCTTCTTCACAACCTTTCACTGGTAATTAGATATAGAGTTGGCTTCGAATGAAATCTCGAGCCAATCCCCGAGATGATGCAATCGATGTGGCTGTAAGGTTTGCATAAGGCAAGGTCAGCAAGTCCGCTGGTGGCAATTTGGCAATATGTCTTTCTTCGGCACCCATGCACGTTCGCAAAGTAATGGCTAAGTCGGCTAAGTCTCAATGGACCGACTTCTGGGGATGCTGCTGGCGCGGATCCGCATTCTCCACTAACCAGTTCACGGCCGAGTCCACAGACGTCACGCCCTGAGAGCTGACTCGATAAGTCAGGGGTTGGGTCAGATGTTAAAAATGACATTCTGCCAGCAAAAGCACCCGCGAAGGGCCTCGCGAACTATAGATCATAAGTTTACACAACATCCTCAGGCTCTTGGAACTGTAAGCATCGAACTTGTGCTACTTCCATGGAGCCCGAAGCCCTAAGGGTAAACGTTTAGAATTATGGCAATAATGATTCCCAAAATAGCTATAACTTGAACTCCCCTAAACATACCTAATAGCCATGGTCTTGCGGACGTGTAGGGAAATGTCTAGCAGGATCAAGTCTGGGCTCACGGAAAAGCCGCGACTACAAGGGTCAACAGAAACAAATCGATGATGTGGGGCCCTCGTGATTGGAATAAGGCTTCGAATATATCATAGTATACAGTATACATACATCAGTTGAGCTTTAGCCAGGTTCAGTCCACAACTTGAGCCCCTAAGCCCGGTTCTCAAAAGCTCAGCACGGAAAGTCTGGGTGCGCAGCTGAAGTGCCACCTTGGATTCGCAGGTTCAGGCTTGTGACAGTTGGGTTAAGTTTCAAGGCAACAAAACAAAAGGTTCCAAAACTTTGAGCTGCCTCTCCAGCGCGTAGTTAATGATTTCAACAACTGGAAGGCAGCACTTGTGGAGTTTAGATGGTTCTGCAGACGAACTCTACCAGTAAGAGCTTCGACTAGCAAAATCCAGTTCATAGATTGTCATAGACGCTCAGACAGGAAAGCCTCAAAGTCACACATGCAAAGAGCAAACAAACAGACACCCACCTCACTCACTCACTCACTCACTCACTCACTCACTCACTCACTCACTCACTCACACGCACACGCACACGCACACTCACTCTCACTGGCTGCCTCACCCCCTCCTTCCCTTCGTTCGTGTTTTCGTTCGCAGACAAACATGCATGCGATCACAAGTACATATACCTAGATACATGTACATATACATGTGCAAATGTACGCACACAGACACATACACGGTCACAAACACCATCCACATTTGGCAACTCTAAGATTTGGTAAATGCACATGTCCTGCGGTGTTGGGGTTGGTGCGGGGTCGTTGACGGTGCCGGTGCAGCTGCTGGCGTTGGTGGTGTTGGTTGTGGTGGTGACGCTGTTGCGTCTGCATGTTTGCTGCGACATCCAATCAAGCAGCTGAGAAAGGAATTGGCGCGCATGGCCGCTCGTGCGCGGCTAGGGGTGACCGCAGCGAGCGCCAGGACCTGTAACCGGAGCAATGGCATGGAAGAAGTTTGTCGTCCTTGCAGGAAGGATTCCACCAAGTAGGTAAAGACAAACCATTTGAATAGCTACGGGCGGTTGAAGCTGCCGAAATACAAGTAGCGATCGAAACAGCTAAGGCAAGCACAATGCTATACTTTCTGACGAGGCTAGGCAAATCATGGACATGGTGGCGATTATAGCGATGAGAGGAAGTCATTCAGTCCCAGGACA